TGGGGAAAAGTCCTGGGCACAACGTTCCTGGCCTTTTTCTCACTATTGAAATCTTCACTTTTCTTAAAACTTGTACCTAATAAGCCCCATGATCATCCTGTGTACCTTTAGAAAATCGATCAAGATTGTTTTTGTTTAAGATGTCATTGAATCCGTTCCGACACATAGTGACCCTGTGCACGGCAGAAAGAAACACTACATGGTCGTGTGCCATGCTCACAATTGCTCCTATGCCTTAGTTCATTGATGCAGCCACCATGTCATTCCATCTCCTGAAGGGCCTTCCTCTTTATTGCCACCCTTCCACTTTACCAAACATGATGTCCTTTTCAAAGGACTGTTCTCTCCTGACAATATGTCCAAAGTCTGTAAGATGAAATCTTGCCATCCTTGCCTCTAAGGAGCACTCTGGCCTTACTTCTTCCAACACAGATCAGTTTACCTTTTCAGCAGTCCATGGGACTTTCAGTATGGTTCTTCAGCCCCACAATTCAAATGCATCAATTCTTCCTCAGTCTTCCTTATTCAATATCCAGCTTTATGCATGCATTTGATGTGATGGAGAATACCATAGCTTGGGTCAGGTGCACCGTAGCCTGCAAAGTAACATCCTTTCTCTTCAAGACTCTAGAGAGGTCTTGTGCAGAAGCTTTACCTAATATATCTATTGATCTCTTGGCCACTGCTTCCATGAGCATTGATTGTGGGTCCGAGCAAGACAAAATTCTTGACAACTTCCACCTTTTCTCCATGATGTTAACTATTGGTCCAGTTGTGGGGATTTGGGTCTTCTTTACATTGAGTTGTAATCTTTACTGAAGGACACAATCCTTTATCTTCATTAGCAAGTGCTTCAACTCCCCCTCAACTTCAGCAAAAATGTTGTGTCATCTACATATTGCAGGCTGTTAATAAGCCTTCCTCCAATCCCGATACCACATACTTCAGCTTCTCTGATGATTTGTTCAGCATAGAGATTGAACTGTTTTGGTTAGCTTGTTTTTAATGACACCCTAGAAAGACCAAAGAAGCTGTGGTGGTGTAGTGGTTATGAGTTGGGCTGCCAACCAGAGGGTCAGCAGTTCAAAAGCACCAACTGTTCTACAGGAGAAAAAGCAGACTTTCTATGCCTGAAAAGAGTTACAGTTTCAGAAATCCACCGGGGAAGTTCTACTCATTCATAGGGAAGTTCTACTCATTCATAGGGTCACGGTGAGTCAGCATCCACTTGGCGGCAGTGAGAGGAAAACCCAAACAAGTGAATCACTGAGTTTGTCTCAGTCCATCCACAGATCACAGAGACATGTTTAAACACATTTTCTTTGTAATAAACCCATACATGTATGAACTAAAACCATAGTTGCAATACGTTTTGACTTATCTTCCTATTAGCACTGCTTCATTCTTTCAAATGGCTACATTGTTTGGTTGTAATATAATTTTTAAAATCTGTCCTACTTATAAGCATTTAGATTTACAGTCTTTCACTATTACAAATAATGCTACAATAAATATCCATATGCACAACTCATTTAGATTAACATCCTTATACTTATATCTTTTAATTTATGTTTATCTCTAAAAAAGAATGGCCAGGCACACAAACAAGAGTTTATCTTGATTTAAATGGGCAGAGGTTGTACTAAATTGCATTGACACCAGTGTGTATGACAGGCCTCTTTTTCTTTACCTTTAACACCAGGGGTGTTATCTTATTTTGTTCTTTCCCACCTTTTTTATTATGAATTAATCATTTTATCAGGGGCTCTTACAGATATTATAACAATCCATAATTCAATTAAATCAAGCATAATTGTACAATTGTTGCCACCATCAGTTTCAAAACATTTTCTTTCTTGAACTCTTTGATATTAGCTTGCTCCCCTTTTGCCAGTTTCATAGGTGGAAAATTGTAGCTCATGCAGTTTTAGTTTCCATTTCTGTTACTCTTTGTTACACTGAATATCTTTTAATTAAGTTAAAGAGCCATATGAATTTCCGTTTCTGTTCACATCCTTTTCCCATTTTCTCTTGTGTTGTAGAGATCTTTATATTGTCAGGAAATTAGATGCTGCAAATATTTCCCCCACTTGTCATTTGTTTATAAGCCTATTTAAAAAAATAATTTTATTTGGGGGCTCATACAACTCATCACTATCCATACATCCATCTATTGTGTCAAGCACATTTTGTACATGTGTTGCCATCATCATTCTCAAAACATTTTCTTTCTATTTGTGCTCTTGTTATCAGCTCCTCTCCCCCTGCTCCTGCCTCCTTTCTCCACCCTGCCTCCCTCACAAACCCTTGATAATTTATAAATTATTATTTTTTTATGTCTTACATTGACTGATGTCTCCTCTCACCCATTTTTCTGTTGTCCATCCCCCAGGGAGGGGATTATATGTAGA